GGATTTGAATTTGACTATTCAATATTTGAATTTTTGACTATAAAATTTGGATTGTAACAAGATCAGTCTCTTCTTGATCCCAAGAAATTCGACAAATGGCATAATCCGTGTTATTCACTCCCTCCAAAGAACTTCCTGCCAGTGTATATTCATGCATTATCCAACGACCCTTCTTCATATTTGTCTCGTCTTGCTTCAAATCGCCATTTAATTTGAACGTAAACGACTTCTTGACGCCAATGACTTCGCCCTTGCAATTCTTGATATCCTTCGGCACAGATTTTCCGCCCCATGTTCCACAACCGGCCACCCTAACAATATGTCTTCTACCTATCTTTTCCAACTTCGTAAACACGTAAATTTCCTTCTTCGAAACACCAACTTCAGACTCCCCAACGATTTCCCATGGATCATTGTCAGAAAAGACAATCCATGGGGTACCATTCTTTCCATATAGATTTCGTTCAAGAATTCTATTATATGGCAATGGGAATCCCATTGCTTTGGGTTTTAAGTAAAGTGTGATGAGTTTTTGATCGGTGGGTTTAAAAACGAAACTTGGTGGTATTGAGAATGCCATAGCCGAGCGTGTAAGAAGGGTTGAGCAAACTGGAAATTCTCAGAAGGGATTCGAACTCTATACGTGAGAGAGTATGTATTTCTCTGGAATCACAAAAAAACAATTTGCAAAGTGCAGAAGAAAAAGTTTTCTTTGAGACGAGCACAAGATTTCTTCAACAAATACCTCTATTTATAGCTGAAATAATCACCTTATCATATTGCTATTGTTTTTGGTCTATGATTCTGTTTTTTGGTAACTTTTGAAAGATAGGAAGTCTCAAATGTGAAGGGACTGTGTCTGTGAGTGTGGTGTATTTATTATTACTTCAACTTCTACAAATTATTTCTTCAACGGTCTCAAATATTTTTTTTAACAAATATTGTCTGTTTTCAAAAGTTAATTATTTTATGAAAGGATGACACGTAGCCAAACTTCTAGATCTGTAGTTAAAAGTGTGCGTTGTTTACCTATGAGACTTCCGTGAGACCAAATTAAAAAGGAAAACAAAAAAAAAAAAAAAAAAAAAAAAAAAAGGGAATTTGGAGTTAAATTGACATTTGAAAAGTTCGGGAATTATATTGCAAACTCTCCAAACTTGCATCAGGTCAATTATTAATGATTTTGGAATGAAGGAAACTTAATTACAATTATTATAAGATGAAAAACAAAGTTACATGGAAAAATGAGTCAATTTGTAATATGGATTGTTTCAATTTTCTTCTCAAACTTTTTGATGGAAATCAAGTTGAACAAAGATTTTGCCTAAATCCAACAATTAAACAAGACTTACAGGGTTTTACTATACACATATATTCAGGCCGAGGTTTGTGGGGATTTATTGTACACATATTTTACAAGCTCAAAATGAGAAAAGAATCAAGAAATCAATGAAATACCTAGTGTTTCAAGATTTTATAAGAAGGTGAAATCTTAGTGCAAGATCTTCATTTTTTTTTTTCCGTTTTTCCTTAATACTCAATAATGTACTTAAATCATTTCTTATTTTATTCTTCGTCTATGATGTGTAATTAAATAATTTGGTTGGAAGATTGATTATAACCTAGTTTTGAATCTTATTTTTAATTAAAAAGTTTTAAATCTCCAATTGATATTGTGAATTGTTTGGCAAATTATTTATTTAGATGACATAGTAAAAGCAGGTAATTAGTATAAAAGTGTACAGGTAAATTTTTCTGATTGGTGGGATCATTACATGGATTCTTAAATAATTACTGCATTTAACTAAAATGTATCCGGATTTACATAAAGATATAGAATTGACTAAGTTAAATAGAATCAATTTGAACTCAAGAAATCTAAATTAAATATATTAGATGAATTTGACCTATTATCAATTATTATAAAAGTTGATGATTGAGATTAAGTGGATAAATATGGTGAATTTGTGAATCCTAACCCTTAAACCATCATTAAAATTTACTTTTATTGTTTTAATTTATTTAAAATAAAAAATCATAAAAAGAAAATAACTTCTTTTATTTGTTTTCACTTGAATTAAAACTTTTACTAATTTAATCAACAATTTGATATTAGTTCTCGTAAGAACGACAACAAGTTTTTGACGTTGTTGTCGGGAACTATTTTTATTTAGTAGTTGATTAAATTATTTCTTATATATATTTCTAGCTTATTTACCAATTTTCTTTATTTTATTAACAGAAAACAAAAAGAAGCTAGAAGCGTCAAAAATATATAATGATTGATCCCAACTTAGATGAATGTGATATGCTTATGGTAGATTTCTTCTTCTTGCAACAACTTAAAAAGTTGAAATACAATCTACCTATTGTACTTGATAAGGATTGCTTGCTAAATATATTAAATATCAAGCCCTTGTTTAGTAAGGATTTTAATCTAAATCAAAGTTGCCAATTAAATTTAATCACTCATATTATGGGACTCATAACTTTTCAACCACACATTTTATCATCTTTTATCAAAATTAACTAAAAATTTGATTTTAATATCCCACGAAACAGCGGCCAAATATGTTTCTTATGATGAGAGGATATTTACTTTTGAATATTGTGGAGTTATACTCAAAATTGTTAGTTATTAGCAACTCCAAATAAAGTAAGAAAACTATCTACGATGATCCATATGAAGAAGAAGATGATGACGGTAACATGCTTAGTGAAGATGTCTTCGCCATGCAAAAAAATATAAAAGAATTGAACATCAAATAATTCTGGATGAGCCAAGTAACATGATTATGGAGGATATCTTCATTAATCAACCTAGGGAATCAACAACTATAGAAGAAAAATATGTTGAAATCAAAGGGATTAATCATGGAGGAGTCAAACGAATTAGTGGCATTCGAAGAAGAGAAAATTAGCATGCAACCTTCAACTTCATTTATTTTGTGATTAAAGCCAATGAGGAGATTGAAGTATTTTTAGTTAAGTTTGAATTGGATAATTCAGGCCAGTTATACTGTATACAAAAAGGAAAAATAAGATTTTAATGGATGGATGAAATGCGGTGCAAAGACAATCTATGCAAGTTAAACAAAACACCCAAAGCAATATTCAAAATGTCATGAAAAATCTTTGTCCAAAGTTGAGTTTGATACTATAAATCAAGAATTAACGTGAGGCAACCTGATTTTCTAACCTTAAAATTTAAATTTTTTTGTTATGCATTGTGTATGGAATTTAAGATTGCATTTTAAACATGGGCATACTTCATAGTTTTTCCTTAGAAAATATATAAAAATAAGAATTTCTGCGTGGACTGCACCACTGTTGCCGTGGCCCGTATAAGGCCCTGTTTGCCTCCGGCCAGCCGGATTAATATGAATATATGACAGGATTTTAGCGGATGGATTAACTATGTGAGATCTTGCCAAGCATAAATTCTGTAAATGAAGTGATAAACGAGGATGTACATTTAGCAAAACTCTATCCTGTTTCCTATATATACTATGCCTGCATTCCAAATAAGTATTTGATACAAACACATTGAAACTCCAATTAATTCCGAAAATCTGTTACTGAAGGGAAAACGACTAATTGTTACTTTCGCAGGGTTCAAACTAAAGAGATTGAAAAATATTAGGCAAACTACGATGTATCAAATCCTTAGAACAAACATAAGTCCCAAACAACTTTACAAGAAAATCAGACAAAATTGATCGTAAAACAATATTCATCACAGCATGAATTAATCGAATCAGCACTAAACAACGTTATGTCCAAATGAAAAGTCAATTTTAGGAAATCGTTTTGTCAAGCCAAATCAGAATCTCTTCGTCAGACATATCCATGGCAACTCATGACAGATCCTTACCGTCTAAATCTTTTTCCATGCAGACCCTCTTTCAATCGAGCATTCAAAACTTGATTTTCGTTTTTGAGATTCATCAGTTTCTTTCTTGATCCCAAGAAATTCGACAAACAGCATAATCTGTGTTATTCACTCCCTCCAATGAACTTCCCGCCAATTTATATTCATCCATTATCCAACAACCCTTCTTCATATCTACCTCGTCTTGCTTCGGATCGCCATTCATTTCGAATGTAAATGACTTCTTGACACCAATGACTTCGCCCTTGCAATTCTTGATATCCTTTGGCTTAGAATTTCTGGCCCATGTTCCACAACCGGCCACCCTAACAAAATGTCTTTTACCTATCTTTTCCAACTTCGTGAACACGTAAATTTCTTTCTTCAAAACACCAACTTCAGAATCCCCAACAATTTCCCATGGATCATTGTCCGAAAAAACAACCCATGGGGTACCATTCTTTCCACATAGATTTCGTTCAAGAATTCTATCACCTGGCAATGGGAAACCCATTGCTTTGGGTTTTAAGTAATGTGTGATTAGTTTTTGATCAGTGGGTTTAAAAACGAAACTTGGTGGTAATGAGAACGCCATATCTGAACCCGTTTAAGAAGAGTTGGAACAAATTTGAAATTCCCGGGATTTTTAACTGTAGAGGGATTTGAATTCTGTATCTAAGAGAGAGAGTGTTAGTGTTCTTCCTGGGATCTAAAAAAGACTTCGCAGAAGTTGGGATTCGAACTCTGTATCTCAAGATCAAGATCAAGAAAGTAGAAAAAGTCAGTTTTCAGACTGTTAGGTCACATTATATACAAATAATTTGCCTCGGGAAGCTTTTTTTTCTGAATGTTAAGACACAAGAAATGATGGATAATGAAACTTCTGTGATTTTTTTATTACAACTTTTAATCAACAGTTGTGTGTTCGAAATAAACTTTGCTATTTGTATACTGATTTTTGACATTTTGATTGAGATTTGCATTATTGTTAAGTGTCAATTGAATGAAAAAACTGTTTTAAATTTAAATTGTTCGGTAGGGAAATGTCATGGAGCAAAATGTAAATTAAAGTGTACACCATAGTGTACATGTAGCAAGGTTCATTAGAAATATGTATCGATTTTCTGTTTGCCATGTGTCATATTAATTTAATTTAAAATATTTATTTATATCTAGTTCAGATGAATTTTCAGCACCAACTTAAAATATGTAATTCGTTTAATCTTTTATTTATATATTTATAAATTTATTTTTATACATAAAAATAAAGTTTCTTAATTGGTTTTCGAATAATGACTTATCCATTCAACCACCAATTCAATAACCTTAGACCCCAATATCTTCTTTTTTTTTTTTTTTTTTTATATCCAGGTATCCACCTTACAGTGACTAAATCTTGGAGTCTACACTTTGACCCCTCAAACTGCAGACAGGTTAAGCCACATATTGTGCCCCAAACTGACCAGTGTTCAAGAGCCCCCCCAACTAATCTGCCAAAGTGACAAGCAAGTCGTTTCTCATCTTTGCACATTGCCTTCCAATAGAGCTCCTGCCTTCCAGGATAAATTCTGCCTTTTAGGAGAATATCTGCCTTCCAAGAGCCTTTCAGGAATCGAACTCACGACCTCTGATCTGCCAGCCTTGAAGCGCTCTCATCTTTGCCAATTGGGATGTGCCCTGGGGGGCACCCTAGACCCCAATATCTTGATCGAGTTAAGAGTTGAATCTGTTTTAAAATTTATGCACTAAAAAGTTCGTTATCTTAAAAAATTATATACAAAGATATAAAAATGTAAATAAGAAAAACAAGTTTGAAGATTGGTTGGAGAAAACCACGGACCAAAGCAGCTAGTGAGCTCATGGGCTCGGTTTGTGAAGCTTAGGTCCATGTGCGGCCATGCTTGGTAGCTTGAATTCTATCTCTTGGGTCAAGCCTAGGCTCACGCGAGTTGATTCGTATGCCAGCTTGTGAACTATCCGTTAAATCATTTCATTATAAAATCTATTTTTGAGCACTTAACTTTTAAAAAAATTTAATCTAATTTTGACACCATATTAACAATCAGTTTGTATGTAGTTAAAAATACTTAAAGAGATTAGATTTTGAAATTTGACAATCAGTTTGTATGTAGTTAAAAATACTTAAAGAGAAATTAGATTTTGAAATTTAACAAAAGAAAGAAAACGGTTTGCAGGTCACTCGGCTCGGCCTAATAGAGCTGAGCTCATGAACGAGCTGACTTGATTGTATTCAATGACCAACAAATTTGATCCATGTTTGGCACCCACCTCCCAAAATTATAATAAAGAACAATCATATTATACATACATGTTCAAAAACAGGTGGGACAGTTTGAAAAATTAAAACAAAAAATATCAATCATTTGTTGTCAAATCAGTCGTTCCCTTCTTACTTGATTTTAAGTCTGATTACGTTGCTTTATTCAATTAAGAATTCGACACATTATACACTCAATGTGCCCACTATGGCAACCATGTTTGACTACTTCATCTGCAGTCAATTAAAAGTTTTGAGGGAAAGATCATGGTGCCCCTAACTTATTTCGCCGAATATTCTTAACCATGGCAATTTTGACATTTTAAAAAATAAGACGGTTGCCAAATTTTTCCCCCCTAAATATTGCGCTGGATCATGTACAAGTATGTCAAGCATACTGTTACAACGTTCATAATTTTTTTATTTTTTTAAATTTTTTTTTGGGATTAAAATGTGGATTACTGGTGCCCAAATAAATAGGCGTTTAATAATATGCAACCCCTATTTGGTGTGGAATAAAATAAACTTTTAGTAAATTTTGATAAAAATTGATGAATTATGATTGAAAAATTGTGAATTCCCTAAAATGTATTGTTAAAATTAATTAGTTATTCTCACTTAGATTTTAATCCATATTTTAATCTATACCAAAAATGGGCATAATGCTGTCATCCTCTGTATATAACGTTCCTCATTTGCTTGGTAAAAATTCGGGTTGAACAAAAACAGTCAGAAACAAAAATGAGACAATGAGAAAAGAATGAGGATCTTTACAGCAATTCAAAAGTTGTGTAATGCAAGTTGATGTAGCATAGCTCCATCTACATAAGAAGCTCCTTAAACATACTCAGCAACATTTATATTTTATATACTTAATTCAATGTAATTTTGTAATCTTTTAAGAAAAATAAAATAGACGACAGCAATTGATTAAATTCATGGGAAACCAATTTTGAACTTAAATATCCATTTATCAGTATTTAGACATCAATGTCATTGAAAAATCAGACCATATACTCCATTATGTGAATGTGTCAATCAATACAAGTAAATCTAAGTATGTTGTGTGTCAATGTGGTCGACTTCCGACCAAACTGCTGGTGGTGCTAGTATGCTAGTTCTCCCAGTAACTGCATCAACAAGAAGTCGAGAACAACAAAAAAAATGTTTATTAGTTGCATAAGACGTAACACTACAGAAAATGGGAAAAAGAATCTTTAAATACTAGGCCGTGGCAGTTAGAATATAATATTCAGTAGTTAAGTAAGAAGTAAAACTGCAGAAAAAAGTGAAGAATTTAAGAAAATCTCCAAGTTCGTGCGTGAGTGTGTGTCTAAAAATGACAGTAGATCCTCATTTTTACTTTTCCAGTCTTAATCTTCGTACTGGCCATAAACTGGGAGAGACGTGTGAAGTAGTAGTCATGTATATCTTGCAACTATCTCAGCCACTACCCTCTTTATATTACTAGAAAGTTACCCTGTAAAAGTAGTCATGTATATACAGCAGATGGCGACAAATATATATTGTGGGAGCCTTTATAGTAGTTAAAAAACCAGTAAAGACACGGGGGTGGGGTGGAGCGCAAAAAGAGACAAAGATGTATATTCTAAGTTTCAGAAATCAAAAGTAAACATTGCAGGTAAATAGTTGGTATAAAAAAAAAAATACCAGCTGGCCAGAGAGCTATCAAAAAATGTATTCTAAGTTTGAGAAATCAAAACGCAACATTGCAGGGAAATAATCTGAACATTTTTAAAGGGTGTTTGGGAGACATTTTTATGTAAAAATGCATTTTGAATAGTAAATTGATAGAAAATGTGTGGTTGAAAAATAAGGAAATTTTTTTTATTTGCGTGTAATATTATTTTAATAAAGAATGTGTGGTTGAAAAGAAGATAGAGAAAAATGCATTTTGAAAAAAATTGGTACCAAACGGGCCTTTAGTAACTGGATCAAACAAAGTGGGGCAGTCAAGCCTACAAAATTGTCTAGTGAAAAATTGCAATGAGTAAAAAGTAAAAATGTTAAAAGCATGTTTGAAAAAACTGAAATTATAATTTAAGATGGTCAAACACTTTTTAACCACACATCCAACGCTTATAAGCACTTAAAAGCACTACCAAACAAGCACTAACCTTGGCTATAACTATTAATCTATAATGATGTGACTAGTGGAGATGCTACAAAATGAAATCACTTCAATGGAGAGGTAACTGAATAGGGAACAGAGAGATACCTGCAGAGCCGAATTAGATAGCAACCACCACTTGTTGGTTTTGGCAACGTGATATTGCAGCTCTTGGTACTGTGAACTACCTCATATACGTATACGTCAATATCCTATTTATCTACATCAGAAGTAAAATTTGATGCGATTGATTCTGAATCATCAATCCTTTCTGTTGCCAACTGGCTGTCTAAGATATTCAAAACATTATCTGGTGGACATTTATCTGCAGGATTCAATGCCGATGTTTGGCAAAAGCACTCAGGCCAGGAATTTGTATAGAATGATTCAGGTGGCAATCGCTTGTGAGGCCCACCAAAATTTGTGCTTAACATCACTTGTCTAACTGCTGCTTCAAAACCTGCGGTCCGCCCCTTTTCACGATCAATAAAGATACGGGCAAGAGCTTTTCTATCAGGCCGAATGGTTGTACGGAAACCATAATAGAGGCGGTGGCCAAGGAGATTATTTGCAAAGTTGCTTGGCCCATCATACGTGGGCATGAAAATATCCGCCAGGAGACAAACCATGTAATCCACGGCAGAGCCCAATAAACCATGTGTATTCTTCGCCAGCTCACCAGTGGTGTCTACTGTGCTATGATTCTCAAGGCGAGGAAACAAGGACCGGAAAGGTTTCATAAATCGATCACCTCCAAATAGTTCCCCAGCTGCTAGATATATTCTGGTTGAGTTGTCAAACCCCATTGCACGTAAGATGAGACTTACCTGCAGATCAAAGGTGCACATTTTGCACATAAACTCAAAACTCTTCCATATTTTTTAAACACACATTCTTCAAAAAATATTTATTCAAAACATCTTTTTCCCCCAATTTCTCTTTATAAAGGCCATCAAACAGTCATTACAATTAAGATATGGTTCTACATTCTGAGACTTACAAGATGCAGATAGATTATTTATAGGTTAATTATAATTGTACACAAGGAATACAAACAGAAATATAATTTCTCAACCTCTCCATTACCTACTATTTTCATTCAAAATAAAGGGAGACTAAGAGGGGCCTTCAAACAACATGAAATTCTCTCCTAAGCTGAAGCACAAAAACTTAGGAGGCCTCCTAA